ACATGATGGTACATGATGGTACATGATGGTACATGTAATGTCGTACATGCATAATATCTTCGATCAAATATGATCAAATATGACTGCACACCCAGCCGGAACTTGGGCCTGAGGGAATCCAAACCAACGCGCAAATGAGAACTCTCATATCCTGGGATCATGTATCAAAATGCATCAAAGCGCGGCAGTGTTGTCTGGTTGTGTCACAATTTCTACGATATCACGTCATGAAAGTTCAAGGTTTGCAAAACCAAAATATAAAAATTGCATCAGAGAAGGAAATCCTTTCTAGTAGTAGCAAATCAATGCATTGAAACTATCATTCTCTTAGGAAAAAACCAGCCATGAAGCCGTCCAGCTGAGCTCCCAACCCAGCCAGTAAAAAATCCCCGGTGCCAAACGGAGTTGAACGCCCGTTTCTCTGGGTCCTAAGTGTGGCCACTTGGCTCGATGGTTTTTCAGAGACATTTTCGAGAGGCTCGAAAGGAACCAGCGGGAGCGCAACCGTCCTTGAAAGATAAAGGGATGGAAAAGTATTCTATAACAGCGAAATTTAATCTGATGTGTCTGTTAGTACAAGCATGGGTTTGCAGTGAGGAAATGTGGTGTTCAAGGTAGCAGTGCGGAGGTTTCGCAGCAGAAGTAGGTCCTGTTTGTCGTGCTCCATGTTTGTTCGGACTTTCATGACCCCTCCGTGTGTGACACACACACACACATACACACACACACAACCCAAATAACCCCCCAGGAGTGACAGTCACGGAGTGTCCAAATTTCAACTATTCGCAGGAGGTCTTCATGACAAAGAGGTCACTCCAAGGCACGAAACCAAGTCCTGCTGCTGAGATTTGCTGAGCCAGCCCAGGATTCCATCACCATCTCAAGATGTCATGGTGACCTTTCCTTTCACTTGGGGTTGGCGGGAAGCAATAGCATGCACCAAAGCATGGATCATCATGGATCCATACACATATATTGAATATATTGTATTGCATTGTCTGCCAATCTTGAGACGACAATTTACCACATATGGGGCAGCAACTGATGGACTCTACTATTGTCTGCTGTTTATGTCTTATAGTCAATGAAGTCACAAAAGCAGCTTTTGTTTGACACAATACTTCTTGCATTCAAATGCGACGGGGCCGCACAATCATACTCCGGTCGGACTGTCAAGCTGTTATCAAATAATTACATGGCAAGGACCTACTTCAGCCACGGACTTGAAAAAGGTTCAAAGCAAACAAACACCCAGCAAAGAATATCTTCGGACGCTAGGCCCAGTCTGCTGAATGCAGGTTTGTTGGCTGCATGTTGTGGCAGGTATGGCATGTAAAGAAAGCACATCCTGCCTGTATATTGTCATGTACATATTGTAGAGAAAACACAGGTCGGGCATCTGATGCAAATATGCTGCATCTGTCTATTTGTCGATCTGTCGACCTGCCTATCTAGTAGAAATACCAGCACAAACACGGTAGACAGAAAAGCAAGGGAAGGTGCTTTAAATATCTTTAAATGGAACATCTTGAACATGAGCACATGTCAAATACAGAGACAAACCATGACAATTTTTGAGCCGTTAAATACAGGTCTGTGAGAGCGACTTGGTCCCAAACGGAGAAGAGGAATGGCATTGTGACTAGCAGGACGACGTTAAAAAAAACCTGGCAAAGGCGACTGCTGGGTTCACAGAAAAATTGGTTTCGTGGACTAAGTAGGCGTCCACCTCCCCATATGCCTCTCCAAACTTGTGTGACATGTATAGCAATGTTCGGACAGATTCAATAGATAATCAATAACCACACAAGGCTCGTGAGACCTCATCTGCAGGATAGTGATAGGAACTTTAAACAACTTCATTCCTTTGGTTCCCTGAGGACATCAAGTTGCAATTGTGAGCTCCCTCCTGCTCCAACGCACCTCACCGCAGACCAGCTGTGTCTTTTGCTCGTACAAGAGGCCACTTCTGCGGAAAGTTCAGAGGTTTTAAACAAGAGAAGCAAAGCCATAGCAGGCGAACCCTCAGTAGAGATGAAGTTCCACAATGCATGCTTTCAATTCAACTAGCTGAGGGGGGATTGGAACAAAGGTTGGCAATTGAATAAACAGGCTGAATCTTCGTATTGCATTCTCTCTTGCCATGACAAGCAGTTGTCGATCTTGTAACCCGGAAGTGTGCCTCTTCTTAAGGAATTTCTCTACCAAAAGAGCCTGAGCCCACGCCCTTTCCACCGCTGACGACAGATGAGCACCTTTCATACTTTTCGTCTCTCTTTAGCATTTCTCTTAGCGTTCTCTGAAGACAGTATATGAGACAAGCGTGAAAAACCAAAATCAACCTATCCAAAGTCGAGTTTTCTTAAAGTCTTAGCTGTACTAATTAGACTTCAACATCATCCCTCAACCTTCAACCTGTTCAAGAACTGCAGCAATGCTGCACCAACAGCTTGGATGGATGCTCATTGCAAGCAAACCTCTTTCAAACAGCTGCAAATCTTAGGTCGCAACACCCAAGCAATTGAAACCTCAGGTCGAAGCAACTGGGCTGAGCTCTGCATAGCTCTGCATCGCTCGGAACAAGTGATGCATGTGTTGGTGGGACCTGCAAACTAGCAATTCACCAGTGTGCGATATATATATATATATATATATACACATATAATTGTGAATTGAATAACCTTGGATGTACGAACCATACGCCAACTGCAGGCTGCCTGGGGAAATCACAGACTTCGCCATCGCCACTGCGCATGGCTCAAGGCACGGAGGTGCAAAAGCGAGGACGCTGCTGCTGTGGGCAGCCAGGTATCGAGAAGTGTAACAAGTTCATATTGGACCCAGGGGGTCACGGTGAAGAGCCCTGTAAGGGGATTTCCTTTTTTGGGGTAGGACCCCTAATCCAAGAAATTGGTTGGTACCGGTTTCCCTACCCTTGTGGACTCTTACCCGGGGAGCCACATTGGTAGCGGAGCCCGGAGGGCCCACGTGACTTCGTGGTAAGCCCGGGGCGCCTGCCATGTCGTCCACTGCAGAGATCTCTGAGGACAAAGGTTCTCACATCTGGACCTTGCTGCCGACGTTTGACCCTGCAGTGGACAATGTCAAAGAGTACATAGAGAAGGTGAAGTTCATAGATACAATCTGCCCAAAGAAAGATCGACCAATGCTAGCTCCACGGCTGGCCATGCTGTGTCGGGGAACGGCTTGGGGACAAGTTAAGAACCTCGACTCTGCTCAGTTGGTTGATCCTGACAACGGTGTCAAGAACTTGTTGGCGGCGCTGCCAACTTGGGAAGAGTCCACCGAGATGAAGACGTATGAACAATTCGAGAAAGCTGTCTACAAGACAGTTCAAAAGAGCGATGAGTCCAGCATGAGCTTCGTGAACCGCTTGCAGGTTGCCATGGACGAGCTGGGCGCAAAGAGCATCAAGGAGTTCCATGCCTTCCTACTCCTCCGACAGAGTTCATTGAGTCCCGAGGACAAGAAACGTGTCCTGACAATGACCAATGGAGACATGGACACGAAGAAGATCGAACAAGCTATGAGAACCCTGGCAACATCAATTTTGTCATCAGGTGAAATCAAAAGGAAGGTCTATCCGACCAACTATGTGGAACCGGAGCAGAACATGGTGAACAATGAACAAGAAGCCTTTTCAGCTGGAAATGTGAGCCAGTACAACAGCCACGAAGAAGAAGAGCTTGACCAGGAGTTTGTGGACCACCTAGCCTCTCAGGGCGACTCAGACGCCTTGAACGTGATGAGTTTTGAACGTGACCTAGAAGAGATGTTTCAAGAAGTCCCAGACCTCCACAACGCTTTGCTGAGTTACCAAGAGGCGCGAACAAAGATCCTGGAGAGAAAGCGATCACGAGGATTCTGGCCTGCCACTGGAAAGGGAAAATCAAAGGGTGTTGGGAAGTTTTCGCAGTTCCGAAAAGGGTCAGGCAAAGGAAGCCTGTTGCAGCGCATCTCAAGGACATTTTGTCGAGCATGCGGAGAAAAAGGTCACTGGAAAGCAGAGTGCCCGAACAAGCCTCCTGCCGCGACTGACCAAGCAAACTATGTGACTCACCAGAGCTTTCGAGCCTATGCCCGTGATGATGAAGAACCAGCCCATGTGATTTTCGAGGAAACAGAAGAGGCCGGGAAGATGTCAGCCATGGGAAATAATAAAAGGGGTAATGGGGCTAAGGATAATAAATGGGGTATAATCAAATTCATGTCCAAAACATGTCACAGCATCCGATGCTGTGTGAACAAATGCATCCGTGAGCAGCCAGCCACCAAGAGCCACAGTGAACACCCGGAATGTGAAAGCGGAATTCCCCATGAAGTTGCCTTCAGCCTGCATCATCTAGTTCCCCAGGTCAAACATTTTTTTCAAAGCCGTTTGAATCCCAGGACGAAGCAGCCAGTGCCTGAACATGAAGCATCCGAGTGCTTCCATAGCCGACCGAGCTTGGGAGCCATTGCAGAAGATGGCTTAGCAATACTGGACACCGGAGCCAGCCGGAGTGTCATAGGAGCTGACTTGTGGCCGGGTGTGCTGAAAAGTTTGCCGAGAGAAGTGCAATCCAGAGTACCAGAACACCCCAGCAAAGTAGGATTCAGATTTGGGAATAATCAGATAACCTACAGTTTCAAACAAGTTAGAATCCCAATCATTGCCGGCCGTAGCAGAATCTGGATGGTGGTCGAAATTGTTCCTCGGGCAACACCTTTTCTCATATCCATTCAAGCCATGAAAGCACTAGGAGCCATGATAGATTTATCCACGAACCAGTGTTATCTGTCAAAAATCCAAAGATGGTTGAACTTGAGAGAAAGTGAGAACGGACTATATGTTTTCAAGATGTCAGAGCTGTGTCTAGGTGCCACGGAAAATGCCATGACAGTCAAAGAGACAGCAGCCGTTCGAGTGTCCAACGTCCTGCCCCCGCCGGGTCTTGTCCCAAGTGAGTCTGTGCAGAATGCTGACTCAGAGAGATGCCATGAAGCTGATCAAATCGACGGCCGAAGCGGTGATGGAATCCCTCAGAATGCTCCTGATCATCTTGATGAACCAAATCGAGGTGAAAGCCCCAGACCAGGAGATCACAGTGCAGCACGCGACCTCACTCCAATCTCTCCTGGCCAATGTGAATGCTCAGAAGGATCGGATCGAGGAACTCTCTCAGATCCTCAAAGAAACCAGATCCCCGAAGAGGTCTTCAAGTCGCGTTGGACCCAGTCCTTCAGAAGTTGGAGTCCTATCGGACCATTCATGGGAGCTGGAGGAGGAAGAGGAAATCAGAGCTGCAACGAGGACCCCACCCAAGAAGAGCCAGCCGAGATCCCAGGGAGCCTCAACCATGAGCCACATGAACCAGAACCTGATTCCAGAGAACAACCGAGAAAGTCAACTCGCGCTGACTGCTCAGGCCTTGGAGTCTTGGGGCAACAAGAGAGTGTCTTGGGGGAAAACCCACAGTGGGAGACGATTCACCGAAGTGTACGAAGAACATCAAAGCTATGTCGACTGGATCAGTGCACGAGCCAAGAACGCGACTCCGGCCATGCAAGACTTCATCACCTACTGCCAAGCCCGAAGCGACATGGAGAAGCATGCACTGAGAGGCCGGCAGTAAGATCAGTGAATCCAGGCCAGCCGATGCTCTTGGAGAATGCCTATGAATTGCACATGATGAATCAATGTCGACACCACATGCCAATTCATAGTCACAAACCCATAGATCTCCTTGAAGTCTATGCCAGCAACAGTAGCCGATTAACAGAGGAAGTCAATAAGAGGGGTGGGGTAGCCAAAAGATTTACCTTTGAAGATGGGGACTTGAGTACCACGCAAGGACAGATCAAGTTGTTCCGAAAGATCTTTTTGTGGAAGCCACGACACATATGGCTTGCTCCAGAGTGTGGCCCGTGGAGCCCTTGGAATCGACTGAACCAGACCAAAAGCATGGAATCCTACAGCCGCATCCGTGAGAATCAAGCTGCCTCCAAAGACCAGCTTCATATGTGTGATCTAATTTGCAAGATACAATTGGATCGTGGTGACCATTTTCACCTGGAAAATCCCAAACCTTCCGGAATGTGGCAACAGGAAGAAATGCAAGAGATATATGGCCGCACCAAGCCAGCCTTCTTCGACCAGTGCCAGTTCGGTTTGAGGCATCCGTCTTTGCAAGAACCAATGCAAAAGAGCACCCGTGTTCAAACCTCCTCCGAGGAAATGTTTAGAAGCCTGGATAACCGACTGTGTCAAAAAGATCATGCTCATGCCCATGTTGCTGGAACATGCCATGTAAATGGAAAACTTGTACAGGTGTCCCGTTTTTCAGCCTTCTATCCCAGAGTTCTTGCAAGGAAGATTGCCGAGGTGATCATGCGACCAGTGCATGAACATGTAACCGTTCCGACAATGGTCGTTCAGCAAGAATGTTTTCCCGTCCGGAAACTGGAAGATTCCGGAAGTTCGCTGGAGGGCAAGACAAAACGTTCCAGAGTCGACGAAGGTGAAACGACAAAGAGGTCAAGCCGGAAAAGAACTCATGAAGAAGAACCACCAAAGAAAATCGATGACATAAGATGGAAAGGGATAATGGATAAATATCGGAAGGAATTACCTAAATCGGGGGTAACCAAATGGGATGGTCCTCATAATGCGGAAGTTCAGGTTCTCCAAAGTCTTTGCCCAGGAATGCAGGTCCAATCAGTCATGGCATGCAAAGGCCGAGAGAAATACATGGTCCACCCAGATAATTTGCCTCACAGAAGAACGGTAATCTTGAGCCGACTGTCATATGAAGTGTTTGACCTTGGAATTGAAGACCTCCAGTCCATGCCCAACAGTCATCAGAAAAGGAGAGCATCTATGCCGTCTCATGTCATGGTATGTGTCTTTGGTAGACAAGGAGAAGCCACAGAGGTCCCAGGTGTAGGAAAAGTAGCAGTGGAAGACCCTGGAACCATGTCGGGGACACTTGACCTGCAAGTCCCAAAGAGTGACTCCACCAGCAGAGTCAGCGAAGAGCCTCATGCTGAGAATCCTGAAGTCTCGGCGCCCGACTTTTCACATGTCATGCCCGCCAATTCATGGACGTCAGCTGCAGTGTCGGTGTCTGGTCCAAGATTCCTCAAGCTGTCAGAACCCAGAAAGGCATATATCAGAAAATTGCATCATAATCTTGGTCACCCGACCTCAGAGCGTTTGTCCAAACATTTAGCAGAACTTGGAGCCGAAGAGCTACTGGTCCATGGTGCCTTGGATTACCTATGTCCATCATGCGTTGAAAGGCGACCACCAAGTTTGAACCCAGCCGGAGCCCTTAAAGAAGCCAGAGATTTCAACCACCGAATTTACATTGATGGTTTTGACTGGAAGAGCACCACTGGATATCAAGGGTATGTTGTTCACTTGATTGATGAAGCCACCCAATTTCATTTGGGGAGACGCACGGTCCGTGATGGAATCCAAGCCCAAAAAGTGTTTGAAGAATGCTGGAGCAGCTGGGCGGGAATGCCGAGTGAATTAGTCATGGATTGCGGAGGTGAATTTGTTGCTGAACCATGGAAGGAATTCCTCCAACAAGGGAACATCACACCAATACTCACTGCAGGGCCATGGCAGAGAGGCAGAATCGAAAGACATGGAGCAATTGTGAAAGAAATGCTGTCCAGAATAGATCAAGCCCAGCCAATAAACAATGAAGGAGAATTCGAAAGAGCCTTGTTCCAAGTTTTTCGAGCCAAGAATAGTCTCTCTACAACCTGCGGTTACAGTCCTGAACAAGCAGTATTGGGAAAAGCGACAAAGCTTCCGGCGTCACTGACAAGTGATGAAAACACTCCGGCACATATGCATGCAGCCTTCAATGAAGGGCCTGAGGCAGAGAAGTTTCGTGCATCACTTGAGCTCAGAGTGTTGGCCAGAAAAGCCTTCATTGACAGTGACAACAGTCAAGCAATCCGCAGGGCCACCCTAAGAAAGCCCAGAGGGGAAATCAATGAGTGGAAATGTGGGCAACCCTGTATGTTCTGGGATAAACGCAAATCAGCCAACATGATAGAAAAGGGTAAATGGTGTGGCCCGGCTCAGATCGTTTTGGTTGAATCAAAGACTATTGTTTGGATAACCCACCTAAACCGGCTGTTGAGATGTGCAAGAGACAACCTCCGTCCTGTCAGCCTCAGGGAGTTTGAGCGACATGCGTCTTTCAACCAACAAATAGATGCCCAACATGCCCAAAAGTTGGCTGAGAATTTGCAAAGGAGACTCCATGAAAGAAGTGGAATGTTCCAATTCTCAGACTTAAGTGAAGTCACAGTTGAAGCACCCACTGAAGATGATCCCCCTCAGGGAATTCAACCGGAAGAAGAACCCTCTAGAAGAGCCTCACATGAACCTGTGTCTGAAGCTCGAGAACTACGTCCTGAAGAAGTGGCCATCCCAGAAAGTGTTGACCATGAATGGAGCGAGAACAGTGATGTGTCACCAAGTAGCTTTGCACCAGAGCCTAATGGGGAAAATAGTGTTACGGGGAGTAACTTTGGGGAGAACCTAGGTGGGAATGAGAGCATTGAAGACAGCAATATCGTCTATAATGCCTTCTTTTCAGAGTCAAACGTTCCCGGACCTGCCATTCCAAGCGACGAAGATACGCTGTGGGATGATGCTCAAGAGGACCCGCGACCATACTGTGAGTATGAATTCGAGGTCCCCAAGCAGCATGTCCAAAGGTTCATGAAAGATCCCAAAATGAACACCTCATTTTTAGCCACTGCAGCCAGACGTGCACGTTCCGAAGTCCGATATGCCACCTTGAATGCATCCGAGAAAGATCTCTTTGACAAAGCCAAGACCAAAGAACTAAACTGTTGGTTAGAAACCAGTGCCGTCAGGAAAATCATGAGATCTAAAATTTCCCCCAACCGCATCATGACCAGTCGATGGATTTTAACGTGGAAGCCCGACCCATCCATGCCCAAGGGTCAAAAGGCAAAAGCCAGACTTGTTGTACGGGGCTACCAAGATCCCGAACTTGATCAGGTAAGCACTGAATCCCCGACTTTGTCTAGAGATGCTCGAATGCTGTGTTTGCAGATGATTTCATCGATGGGTTGGGTAGTTCAGAACTTCGACATCACCACGGCCTTTCTCCGTGGGAAATCCGACGGAAGGCAATTAGCCATGGAACCCGTTCCGGAACTCCAGAAACTTTTGAAAATGACAAGTGACGAAGTCCTGTTGCTGGAGGGGAACGCTTATGGCAGGGTTGACGCACCACTGCTCTTTTATAAGGAGTTTAGACGTCAACTTGAAAAAGTAGGGTTTGAAGCCCATCCACTTGATAATTGCCTGTTTTTGTTGCGAAACAAAACCAATCCGGAAGTTCTGGATGGGATCTTAGGAACTCATGTTGATGATGGCATAGGAGGGGGTAATCACCACTATGAAAATGCCTTGAAAGAATTGCAGAAAGTGCTTCCATTCGGACAGAGGGAGTTTAGGAAGTTTCGGCTCACGGGTCTAGAGATTGAACAGCTGCCTGACAATTCCATCAAAATCAGCCAAGAACCATATATCAATAAGATCGAACAGATACAAGTACCCAAAAATAGGAGAGCCAATAAAAATGAGATGGCCAATGCACAAGAAGTTCAAGACTTGAGGGGTTTGTGTGGAAGTTTACAGTATGCAGCTGTACATAGTCGGCCCGACATAGCAGCAAAGGTAGCCTTCATCCAAAAGAACATTTGCAAGGCGACAGTGTCAACCCTCTTGGATGCCAACAGAGTGCTGATTGAAGCCCAGCAGACTGCAGACACGTCCATAATGGTGAGACCTTTGCCATTAGAACGGATCACCTTTGCAAGTTTCGGTGATGCAAGTTTTGCTAGCGCTTCTCAGTTAAAGGCCCAACAAGGGTTATTCATCGTTGCATGCACGCCCGAACTTGCTGCGAACAAAACATCCGAGATCAGTCCAATGTCCTGGAACAGTAAACAAATAGGTAGAGTGGTGAGATCAACGCTTAGTGCTGAGGCATATGCAATGAGCTCTTCTCTTGACAAATTAACTTGGCTCAGGTGCTTATGGGGTTATATCCTGAGCCCAACCTTCAAGTGGCAATATCCCGAAAGTTCCCTTCAAGCATGTCCCAAAGCTCTACTCATTACAGACTGCAAAAGTTTATATGACCTTGTCACTAAACTGGCAGTACCCAACTGTGAGGAGTGGAGAACTACTGTGGAGGTAATGCTTATAAAGCAGCAGGCAGAAGGGCATTCGCAATGCCGTTGGATTTCAACAGCAATAATGCTGGCTGACTGTCTGACGAAACCGATGGAATCCTCCTTTTTGAGGTCAGTGCTACGGCTGGGAAGATTTCGAATCTTTGATGAGAGCCAAACGTTGCAGAACAACTCACACCGCAAGATCGCGGCCAAGTGGGTATCCTTGCCAACTGCAGCACTGGAAGATGAGGATCCGAAAGTACATCCAAAAGAAAAATAGACCAGTGTGAATTGAATAACCTTGGATGTACGAACCATACGCCAACTGCAGGCTGCCTGGGGAAATCACAGACTTCGCCATCGCCACTGCGCATGGCTCAAGGCACGGAGGTGCAAAAGCGAGGACGCTGCTGCTGTGGGCAGCCAGGTATCGAGAAGTGTAACAAGTTCATATTGGACCCAGGGGGTCACGGTGAAGAGCCCTGTAAGGGGATTTCCTTTTTTGGGGTAGGACCCCTAATCCAAGAAATTGGTTGGTACCGGTTTCCCTACCCTTGTGGACTCTTACCCGGGGAGCCACATATAATTATGTATATATATATATATTATAATCATCATATGTATATATATATATATGAGACCAGATTTTGAAGCATCTTCTGGACTTATTACAAACCAGGATATCAATTCCAAAAGTTGCGTCCTCCAAACATGCCAACTGCCGCACGATTGACAAGCTGTTACTGTTTACTTCTTTGTACTCATACGCAGTTGACAGCTTTGCAACAAAACATCTGCTCATTCTACATGAATCTATGTACTGTATATAATTACAATTATTACTATACTATTCCATATATATCATCCTCTCTAGTCCAATCCGTTGAATCTACTCCAAAACAGAAAACCATTTTCTACCATGAGAATTCGCAGAGACTTTCGACTTTCGGGACACCCAACCGATGGACGCCAAGGTGAGCAAGCTTCCTGCAGCGGTGTCAAAGTCCAAATGCATCTCTGGCCTGACATGGCCGGACGTATCCGATGCTATCCATAAGCACAATATAACCATAATATGGTATAATATATATATATATATGGTTGGTGGTTTTAACCATCTTGAAAAATATTGGTCAATGGGAAGGATTATCCCATATATCATGGAAAATAAAAAATGTTCCAAACCACCAACCAGATATATATTATATACATATATCTATATAATCTATATATCATATATAACCTTATAGATATCATATATAACCTATAGATACCTATAGTATATACTATCATATCACTGAGGTATAACATTGTTAATATAACATGGTTAATATAACATGGTTAATATAACATAATATAACATAATATAACCAGATATAACCTATAGACTATTGGTTCTTACCCAGTTGCCAACTGGGATGCACCCCCAAGTGCCCAGATGCAATTAGTGGCCACAATATGGTACTTTTATGCTACAATATAGCAAAGGGCGAAACACATGGAATCACATCATGCTCGGAGATACTGAAAGAATGCTTTTGCAAGTGGAACTTCTGCCTCTTGGCTGCTCCACATCTTTGGAAAAAATGAACCAGAAGTCCAACATTTGAGCGTCCATGCTAAATTGTGAATATCGAACATGAGTCCCTGCATGCCATACCATGCATCATCGGCCAACCGGCAAACCGGCCAACCGGCCGACACTTTGACCAACCGATTTGGAATCGTCGCCTCTGACTGTGATGGGCCGACACCTCGAAGCATGAGCAACTTGTTGTATCTTTCTATAGCTTTCAACATACCATGAAATCACTGGCTCACAGAAAAATGAATTGGCCTTGGGCATTGAGCAGCAGCATCAGCACAGTAGAATTTAATATCAATGTGGTTGAAGCTAAGCGACCAACACAGTTTTCCGCTGTCATCGGGGTTCATGGTAATGAGATCAAGTGATATCCATGCTTTCTTAGTACAAACACAGGCATCTGCAGAAACAGCAAGTCGCAATAAGTCGCACCTCAGTGTGAGAAGACAATCTCGCACGCTGAACCACCTCAGATGGGGCGGCTTCACTGTGTGCAATCACGAGTCAGAAAGAATTTGTACGGAATGCAAAGGAAATGCAAAGGAAATGCAGCAACTCAATTTCATCGAGTAATCGTTCTTAATCATTCTATAAGTCATACATAGTTATACAGTAATTCGAATTTTCTTTCCATTCTAGATCTTGATTCAATAGGCTTACTGCATCTTAATGCTAATGTGCATACGGAGTCTGGAAATTCCAAACCTCCGGCCGTGAAGCATTCATGACGTCAAAGGACTATGGAGGTAATAGCTAGATATTACTTTGCAACATTTTGCTACGGTGTTGCAATGGATTGTATACATAGAGAAAAGACGTGAACATGTCTATAAAATCTAATATAACTCAATACTGGTGATCATGTCCTTCCATACAAACTATCCATCGGAAGCCATCAGCAAATGATTCAGTGTAGATGGCCCAGCCTGGTGCTTGACGTAGTAAAAGCAACCGAGCGCTACTGTGACACCAGCCAGGGAACACCACCTCAACGGTGAAAAAAATGGGACAAACATGGACAAACATGGAACCGACATCATCTGGCAACCCCAAGACCCTGAACATTTGGAGACAAAAGGAGACAACAATTTGGTCGAAAGGATTTTTTAAAAGGAGATTGCAGCCTAAAGACACCCTGTGGCCGTAGCTCAGGACTCTTCATCATTGTCCATTTCAGCTTGATCTTCCATAATTATAGGGTCTTAAAACGGTGAACCCCAAGATCTTCGAACATGAATCATGTTTAATCATGTTTAATATGGATCTTAATATGGATTTTGATATGGATTTCATGATTTCAATGTCAGAAACCATTGAGTCAGCCGAATTTCATCGAATTTCCACATGCTGCTCCAGGAGCCCCGACTGCATGGCCGAGTAGCGACGCCTGAAGAGCAAAGCCTTGGTGCGTCGCTGCCAGTCCTGGTTCACCTGTTTTTTAATCCAGAAATATCACAAGGCAAAATGAGCTAATCTAAATTAAGAATTGATGTAAGCTAACTAAGCTTACCTGAGCTAAACCCTGTTGAACCAACTCAAACTTCTTCAAAATTGTTGGCAATTCGGATAATTGTTGAACAGTGTTGAGCATCCCTAAGTGCAAAAGCAAGTCTGAAGAGTCTGGGTCTGGCAGGATTCAAATTCTCCTTGGATTCACACTCAAATTCGGACCAAAATCAAGGCCAGCTTCCACAAATAAACGAAGCATTGGGGAGGCTGCTCCGCAAACGCCAACCACTGGCAAACTGGACTGGCAAAGCACCTGGCAAGACCCAATGTTGCTGCTGGTATCTGCTATTTCCATGGCTGCAAATTCACCATCAATTGGTAACTATAGTGATAATGAAGCCAATATCATGTATATATACATTCTATATACTGTACACACATACACAGTAAGCCATCAATCAAGTGTCAACATTTAATGTCAATCACAGCAACATCACCCGAGCAGAATCAGAGTTCTCGCACCCGAACAGATCCCGCGTCAAGCTTCTCCAGAGCCATGATAAGGCAAAGCCTTGTGGCCACGTTGAGGACATGTGACGATTGCGGCATGCCCGGCATGTGGATCTGAAATGATCTGAATCCGAAAAGCGAAGCATCATCTCGCTCATATATGGTATATATATATGCACATGCTGACGCATGTGCTGATGCATAAGCAGAAGAAGATGCATACAATCAAATCAACAACCTAAATCGATCCATGTCACAGCCTCTTTCGGAACTTGCCTCGCATGAAGGGAGCTTCCTTTGGTTCCAACATTTCCCTTCTCAAGTCATTCGGATCTTTGCTTCCCAAGTGTCGGACTTGCTCATGACCAAGCAAAAGCTGACTGGCAGTTGCCTGAATCTAGTGGCAATGCCATGCCACTCAGCAATCGACATAAGGAACAGTCTCAAAGCTGAATCCCGTGCCCCAAACTGCAAAAAGAAAAAACACAAATCCTACAGCTGGTATGATTCCGGTACATGTCTTGCATTTTGCCACTGTCTCAAATTGCACAACAAATCAGAACTAGAACATACAAGATCATATACAAGAACACTAGAAGGATCTAGAACGGCATCCACACGCAGAGCTCGTTGCCTGCATTGTCTGGAGCGGACAATTGCCCTAGCTTGGTCAGGTTGCTTCCCCAATTTCCTACGCAGCCCCTGTAACATCATCTGGCCTTTGAACTGCCTTCGGATCTAAACATCTCCAAACCTTAGTTGCAACTGCCAAGTTATTTTAGATGCGTTGACACAGTGACCGCAGTGACCATCTGGGTGACAATTCCCTATCAAGCCTTTGGTCACTTGATCAGATGTGTAGTGAAACTCTACATCCCCGTCATGGAGGTTCCGCCCTTTAAGAATCTTTGAGAAGTGGACGGGTCACCGAGTTGATGCAAACACTTGAGGATCTTGAGGACAGCACGCGCAATCGCCAGTCCGAGTGTAGTTGCAGTTGCGCCTCAACAGTGAGCTGATTTTCAGTCTTGCAGATCCGACTTGGAATTCTTTGGCATTCGATATCATTCGATTCCAAGAGGATTCGGAAGGATTTCGCATGGATTATGTAATTATAATATATAATTCAATTATGACATATCTTTTCATATTGTTTCATATTACATATGGTTTCTATTGGTTTCTGATGAAATGCCGACAAAAACAGATGCCGCGAGGATGTTCCAACCTTCATTCTGTTCCAAGAGGGCGCCATGGCCACAAGAAGACCTGCGCTGCGATGACTGCGATGACTACATGGAAACAATCAGAGACGGCAAACTAATTCGACAGTCCTAGACATTAATGTGACGCAACATTACACCAAATTCTTTGGCGGCTCTTCAACCAACTTCTATCTAAATTACTGTTTGCTTTCGAGCGCTCGTTCCAAGGGCAAACAGGATGGGAACAATGACGCTTGGAACGTCGCATTCCTGTGCGTCATAGATTCGCATTTTCTCTTGGGCTAAGCTTTTACACACACGTGAGCAATTCCTTGGCATTGGACTATGGACTGGTCCCAGCCAGCGGCACGGCAAAGGTGCCTACTCCCACTGATAGAGATGTCCTCAGATCAGCTGTCAGACGATGCCGAAAAGGAAACAGATCTGTTCAATCGGTTTTGTTGCTGCTGAGGATGCAATGCAACATGTCGAACATTTGCAGGCCAAGTTTCTGCACCAACACCAGGGTGATGTTGTTAAATGCTTCTTCCGGAGCCTTGGCAGTTCTAGATGCAAAGAAAATCCAGGCTGATTGATTGGCTTCCGGTCGCTTGCCATACATCGCGACAGTCAAGGACCCAGACTTCAACTTAACATAATTTGACCATCATTCGAGTTTTGACGTGTGGACACAACTGATTGGCCCGTGGAAGAAAGCTCGCCAAAGTTGGGTGAAATTACAAATAACGTGTCACGAAGAATTGGACCAAAGCCTGTGCACAACCACCATTTTCGCAATGCCAAATGATTTGCTGCATCTTCTGCACAGTACAAGCAAGTGTGAGTGGAATTGCCTTGCAGGCGTTGCAGTCAGATTTGAGTCCAGCCCAACCAGGATCGGGTCATCAAAATCTCTCGCTGCCTTGTTTGCGTGCGCCCATGTGACAAAGAAGGGCTTCGTTGCGTCCAATGCAATGAAACTCAAAACCTCGGAGCAGATGCAAAGCAATAAGCACATATAAGTACCACAGCAGAACGAAAATCCCTGGAAATCTAAGACTTGGCAGTCATCCTGAGTCATCCGGTATAGACAAAGTGAATCCGTGTTGCTTTCCTTTGAGGTTGGCGTGTCCTTTTTAATCATACATAATCATACTATGTGCTGCTGAAGCTCATATCCTAAACCTATGGACCCAAGTTGCAGTCTCCTCTGGGTCTTGGGTGCAATGACTCTCAACTTATTGATTTCCACAAAGCTGCAGCATGCCAAAGGGATCAAAGGGGGTCTCAAGTTGCAGTTCGTCTGTAAAATGCCATGTTGAAGGCCGTTGATAAACCATCACCATGATAAACCGCGCAACAAAATTTCAACGCCTGGGATTGCAGAACCTCAACCAACAGAGCAGTGAGAGTCGAGCCAGAATCTCCAGATGAGGAAAGCGGTCATGGTCACCTGCCAAAAAGAACATGCAAGGGGTTGAAAACCTTGATGGTTCATGCAACCAAACAGCACTAAGAAAAATTGCCATCGCCGGATGCTGTCCAAACCATCCATGATTTATCGTGGAATCAATGCGAATCAAAGAATCGGAGTCCCATAGGCAGGCCATGGCCATTTCTCCATCTCCACATCAGCTGATCATCAGCTGATCATCAGCTGATCATCAGCTGATCATCAGCTCCCAATCCACCTTCAATTGCAGCTTTCATAGCAGCCACCTGTTCCATCGACTGAACCTCGGGATGCACTGCTTGAAAATGCAATCCTTTTGGGACCTGGTGCCCATATAGGATATCCATGGTGTGTATAGGGGTTGGTTTGGCAGCTCCACAGGTACTGTATCTGAGTTTGGTCGGAATTCCACATCACAAAGCCGTCATGATCCATCGAGCGTCAATCCGAACATGATCATCCACTAATGATTGTTACTTCAGCAGTCCTTATGTCGTTGTGCCATTGAGTTAATGTGGATATGTACAGAACGATTGGAATCATTCGATTCGATCTTTGATTTCCTTCAGAATTATCCTAAACATCTTCCTCAACACTTTCGACGTTTTGCAGCAGCAACCTCCCTATCAATCTCATGCCTTGCGCAGGAAGGGTCTTTGTAGCTGACCAGGTGATTTTTGCCTCCCGACCAGGAACATCGGACAGTTGCTATGCAGGGATTGCGTGGGATCTCCATGCATAGTCCTCTCTCACTACTCAATAACTTGGCATCTTTGATCTTGGTTTCACTGCAACAGGTCAACACCTTCCGGCATATCTAGGGACAAGCAAAGACACGGGAAGTCGAAAATTACCTGCACATTGAGGAAACTGAGATGAAGACTCGAACTGTACTCCGTGATGTAACCTGGCAACGTTTTGGACAGGTCAGATGCTGGGAAAATACCATCAACGATTTGACAACACTGGCATCTTGTTTTTGTATGTTTTTGTAGGTTGGTCGCTCCGGTACTTTGGCCAAACCGTGCCGCTTCGATCCTCTTAAACTGCATCCGCAACCAACAAACAAGTAACCAGTTGATACACCTGCAATGACTGCAAGGGAGGTGTGGATTAAATGGATCAATGCTGATCTTGTTGCTGTCGCATGTTCTTCTTTGCTTGTGGTATCTTCCATGATATGCTTAGGCTCTTGGGCCATGCACCTGGATTCCTCCGCGCGCTGCCGTGATGGTGCCAAAGCCCACACAAGGATGGCAATCAAGACCTGCATGGGCACAGCAATCCTGAATCATTTTGAATCGTGAATCATTTTGAATCCTGGCTCATGGCCATCTACTCGTTGCTGTTCAGCTATCAACAAAATGTCTTCCACATCCTACTCTCTACTCGCTCGTGGACAACTGAAGAAATAACATGTCCTATACATGTGCTGGGACTGCTGGTGGTAGTGGTTCACTGCGGCACATTGAAACCTTCACAACTTCTGCGACAATCTAAGTCTTCTAAGTGCCGGGCCAGCAATGCACATGCAGTCACCGGGCCATTGTTCACGGGACCAGCAATGAAGACAATGGGAAAAAAGTACATGACCTTTGAAAAGGGCAGCGAACAATAAACAATGGAAACATGTTGCGATATGATGCGATATGTATTTCGCCCGCGGTGGTTGTTTGAGTTATACATTTGATGGCTGGATTTGCATCCCCAGCCTCTCAAAACTCATGTGCAAGCAAATTGGCACAGCGAAGCAAGAAAGCTGCGATTCACAAAGGAATCACAGGACACTTCCAGACACTTCCAATATAGGTACTATGTAATAATATATATATAGAGAGATTAGTATAGTATATTATAGTATAGTATAGTCTTATAGTGCATTGTCATTAATCGTCACCATGTCTGTGGTGCCCCACTGATGCAGACAGCATGTGGCATACATTCTTCGCGAAAGCAGAGCACTCCTTCACCTCAGTGCTCAGCAGTGCTCAAGACAAAGTCAAAGTCAGGCGCTGCTGCAACAAGGGGCAGGGTCACGCAGGGTTTCAGCTGCATTGTGATGCCAGGATCCGTCAGCTTTCTGTTTACCAGTTCTCTGCTGACAAGAAACGCCTGAAACTAGCCATGATAATGCCATGATAGTATCCACATCATTCTACATCTATCCATTATCTCTCTTTCGCGCCCTGCATTCGCACACATCTTCATCATCTTCCATTGTCTTCCATTCTGTGCCATTTGCAGTCGTTGGAGACAGCTGTGCGTCTGACCAACAGCCCAGCCATCCAACCATGAACTGCCCAGACCTGATCAAGGCAAGAAATGTTTTTTTTTTTTCGGCGGCTAAGCGAACATGGTCAGGCGATGTTTTTTTGAATAGAGTTGCTACCCGCTACCTTTTTGTTCGTTGAAGATGTGGACATTAGAATATATAACTGTGTCAATCATTATAATGCTGTAGGCCATCTCCAATCAACCTCTTTCTTTTGCTAAGCAGCCACAACCACGAGAAGGTTGCGATAGTCTGCAACCTGCCAGTAGTAAGATCATCAAAACAACTGGCAATCCGTTGGCAGGTATACCCCTCCTTCAGTTGGCGACGTCTGGCGGAGTGTAGCCAAGTATCAACGTGCAGAAAACAACACACACACACAAGAGATCTTATGTTTGCACCCCATGTGAACATGGATGTGACATTGTCAAAAAAATGCATACCGCACAGAATTTCAGGAATCACACTTGCCTGGTCCCAGCTGCAGTGTTCAGTGACTCCTGGTGGCTGCTAACTGTGGGATGGAAAACGGAATTCATGCCTACCAAGCCCTATCGATTGACCCACAACCGGCTGTGTTCACCACTGTTGGTTGAAATGCTTGCAGCGGGACTGGCAATTGCAGATCGGCATTTGAAAGGTTCTGTATCATATCACTCTGCTGTCCCCTAAAAAGACACAGTCTTTCGTTCCGGCAATTCCAGAGACCATTGTCACCGCACTGCATCCTTGTGAGTCTGCTAAGAAGTCCAAGTACACGGCAGTCAAGAAAAAGGATGTCACCAGTTCCCCAAGCATAATGTTTGTCCTCAGCTAGGAGATCGCAGAATCAACACAATCTACAGTGAATGCAGTCCTATGAGTCCTAGATGAAACATCTTTTCGACCAAATATGATTGAACACACCCTTCAGAAATGCGCTGAACTGATCTTAATGGCGAGCCATTGGCGACTCATCTGCACGTGACCTTGTTTGGTTCGCCTTCCCCCATGGAGTCACTTGAGACTTACTGAGGCCTGCACTGACATTGAAACTGAGCGCCCAGCTTCTGGATGTAGAAAGGCACACGATCACCACGCGTAAGAAACCTCCCCGGCAAATGAATGAATACAGTGTATCCAGGAATATACAGCACATGTGGGGGTTAGATGTTGAACAAATGCCATCCATTGCAGTTCATGGATGTTCATTGGAAATCATGGACATTTACTTCCTGACCACAGCCTCTCGGCCAGGATGGAAGCTGAGCAAGATAGGAAAATACCTCAGACGGAGCAAATGGATCTCAGCCATTCTCGTGGTACTGCTGACTTGAGGGTGAAATCCAACTCTGTTTCACCATGTTTCACCATGTTTCACCTTTCTACCAACAAGTATGGTAGAAATCCACTAGGACCCGATGTCAAACTATCATCCAAACTAAGGCGACAAATGAAAAGAAAGGACCGTGTCCGCCGTGTTCTTATATTAGAATTCCTTTGAAACAAGATGGAATGATTTGGATGTCTCCCAAGAAAGATCGGTTATTTTTGAGTGGAGTTCAACCTATGCATCAAATGCATCATATGAATCATATGCGAGGAAAGTGAGTACATTTTTCACTGTACAATATGTACAATGTCATACAATGTCATCAATGTCACACTCGTTAACTCCCATATACTCCCATCATCCCCAGTGCAAGGTGCTGGAAATGAGGCTCAGAATGCCAAGGTTTGGCCGAAGAAAATGTCCTTGACTCCAATATGGCGGCCTCGGGGACTGCTGTGGGAAATGATTCGGAAATGATGCGGAAATGGAACTGGTCAGGATCAGACATACAGACACATACTAGAGACCTGGAACTATTGGAACTTCTCTAACACTCTAACTGGATACTTGCCTTGCCATCTTGTACTCAAATATCTTTGCAATTCTTTGCATATCTTTGCATCTGGGATAGCAACACAACCAGGAAATCAGCTTCTTTACCATCAGTTTGTGGCTTGTGGGGCGGAGCCGGTGCAGGATCGTCATGATATGGTCAGCGGAATCATCAGAAATCCATAGAAATCCATCGTTTACAAATCTTACCCGCAGCCATCCTTGCAGAATCCCAAGATTTCCCAAGCATCTGCACTTGTGATAGGGACCCAGGCCGGAAATACAGAAGACGAACCTTGGGCATTTCCATGCATTTTCGCAGACCAATTAAATTCAATCAGGGTAATTACCCAAATCACGTGTGCATGGTTTGTTCATCTTTATGTTCAACGGATGTGTTCAGCAGCCCAGTCTGCAACCAACACACCAAGTGCATCTAAGCGATCTAAGGATGTTGCTTGCGCGAAGGCAGCGACAGCCTGGTTCAGGATTCAGCGATGTGTTGGTCGCAGGTGTCTACGAGATCGAGCGCTAATGATCACTGTTGAAAGGTGGTTGGGCATAATTCGGCACAATTCCCTCTTCTCTTTGCAGTCTTTACCAGCTCCGCTAGGCTTCACAAACATTCACAAACTATCTGGGCCACGACTTAGGAAAAAGGCGTGACATGGTCCCTCTCGCCAAAATCCGTGACGATGAAAGCAGTGGCTCCCCACTGCTCCAACTAGAGCGATGGCCGCCCACCTGAAGCGCTTTGATGAAAGGGTTGGGAAGGGAAGCAGCACATTTGCGCATGACATGTCTTCGGCAACCTGGAACACGTGACTACGCGGCTACTTCAGGTGTAAGTGCACAGGCCTGCAACCACTTCGGAAATTGATACGGCTAAGACCACTTGACTATGAATGACAAGTCATAATTCAAGTCATATTGAAGCAGTGCTTGTTGAGAGCGTAAGTTCAAATAAACAACTCGATTTAGATGTATAGTAGGTGCGCGTGCATATCTCATGCATGTAATTGTTTTTATTTTTGCAGTCTATTAAATATAACATTTTTTCCTAGCAATGCAAGGAAATGCAAAAATTGCAATGACTTAAGAATACCCAAGAGAGCATCAGGTACACATTGACAACATCCATACCCATATCTCCCGACAAGCCACTGCTGTGTAGTGTATCTTCGGCCCAAAAGCAAATGAGACCTTGCTTTGATGTGACGAGCAGGGATTGACTGTAGTAACACACTTTTGGGAGATCTTCAGATCGTTTTTGGCTTCTTTGTGAAGTTGCATCTGGTCTGTCTTGTACAAATGGGTGAATTCACCGCCTGTTCAAGTGTTTGCCAACTTGCAATGAAGCATACAAACTGCCCAAAAACATCCAAAAACCAGGTTCGTACATGCCACAACCAGCAGCGTTACGACAAGTTAGTCACTGGTGCCTTTTCCCCACACTTTCCAGCCCATCTGGGTGGCTTCAAGTGATTGGTCATAGAATCCACCAGAACTCATCATCGAAAAAGTATCTGGATATTAGATATTGCAACATCTCCAAAGCAGCCCATACTCTTAAAAATTGTAATTAAATGTCTTCACGCCACAATAGGCACAAAATGGCACAAAACTTTTGGGCTGTTTGTAAAACCTTCACAGCAGTCCATCATTCCTGGGCCAGCATGCAACAGCGCTGTGGTGGGAAGATTCACCTGGCAGCGAATAGACGTGTTATTCAGCGGTTGACTGCACGCTACTCCCATGATCCCGTGGTCAACCTTAACAAACATCAACTTATCAACATTTGCTGGTCATTGTCTTCTCCTTCGATACTGCAAAAATGCCGTGAAAACAGAATTGCTCCAAGCCATGGAGGTAGAAGCATTGCCGATCGTATCGGATTTAATATGTTGTATGTTGATGTATTTTGCAAATATAGTGAGGAAGCTTCAGTACAAGTACTTACTAGTAGTGAGGGGATACAAAGGGGTACCAAAGCGCCATCCTCTGTCCCTGCTGTCTGCCTGAGCCATGATTTTCAAACTTCCTGCGTTGAAGGTCCTAAGGGCTTCTAGCATAGCCTTGGTGCAGCTGCATTTGGCGCTTTGGGAAAGTGCTTGTCGTCGCTGCGACTCGCTGCGAGATTGTCTAAGATGTATTAAAAAGATTTCAAAAGCATTGAACAGGTCATGAATTGCCTATCAAAGCAGCAAAACATGAGTGCACCAGGAAATTTGCCTTCCGACATTCTGTTGACATTACATGAAATTGTCACAAGACCTAAACCTAATTAGGCCGAAAAGACACATCAGAACGCCTCATCGAAGCTTTCATGCAGGTGAAACTCTGTTATTATTCGGTGCAATTCTGAGACTTTGACCATCTGCGCGGCACAAAAACACGCAGCAACCTTGAATGCAGGCTCAGCTGCTTTTTGCAGAGAAATGAATATAATGAATGTGCATCCGTATTTACTTTCTGTGTTTTCTGCATCTTTCCATATCTTTCCTAACCTGTCCTTGGTGTCATAGGAGCAAATTCAGATCCAAGGACAACTGATTCGTAGTTTTGGGTTTTAGATATCACGTGACGACAAGTTCTTGCTATCCATACCCAGTGGGCTTACGACCTGCCTCCAGTTCTTCAAGACTTACCTCTGCATTTGCCGCAGCTTGGTGCCCGACAGGAAACATCCAAACGTTTCGCCGCAGTTGCAAGCAGCGCCTGCGGAGTGTGATGAGGGTTGTTTATGACAGACTGACTGTCTGCGGGGAGTATCTGAGAGTCCCGCAAGTGGTATGGACCCAATTGATCTTAAAAAGAACCATGCATGCGGCATGCGGTTTCTTTGTTTTGATTTGACATTTGACGGTTATATTGTATTATATTGTATTTGTGCATCTGGCGAGAGTTTTTTGCATTGCATAGAACATGTTGCACATCATGACTATTGTCATCAGAATTACACACTATCAAGGCAGTATAAATGTCAAACATTTAGACCGTGGAGGACATCTAGTCCAAGTGTCTTAACATGTCTTAACCATAGGGTCACACTGCTGCGGTGTGCCTCAGACCACGACGACCCTCTAAGAGCAGGCCCAACCAAAGGCCAAAGATCACAGAAAGCATGTTCTTCCCCTTAGTCTCGGCAGGTGACTTGGAGTCATGGGCAATCCTCATACCTTTCGCGACTTTCCTACCTTTTCGCGCACCTTGATCTTCTTTCTACTGACTCTTTCTCTTCTCTGACTTCTTCTCTTCTGTCTCTTCTCTGGCTTCTTCTCTTCGGATTCTTTCTCTGCTCTCACAACTGTTGCTGCATCTGTCCACAAGTCGGAAGTTATAAGTTTGACTTGTAAACTTCCTTCGATAAAATTGAAAGAAATCCAATGATTCCAATGGTTTTGGAGATGTGTTCGCAGTGTGGTTCTCCGTTACCTTCGCTGCATGGGGCTCCCGGCGCACAATGCGAGGGGCACCAGGGCTTCGCAACTATGAACAGCAGACCTCCCAAAATGCGTCCGTTGCACAGGCTTGTCCCAGACGTAAACATCAAAACATGATGGGGAAGACTATAACGCTGTAATATGCTGTAATCTAAAACTAGATTTTAATGTATTTTATGTAATTTTTGTGTAAATTGTGTAATACTTGCCTAAAATCCTATCCAGGAAAATCCCCTGTGTTCTCTTTGATTCTTGACGTGGGTCCTATCTCTTTCAGAAAGTTTCCCTAATTCACATTCATTCACCCTAATCTGCAGACGGTATGGAGGTATGGAGTCTTGTGGATATCTCTTTGATATGGCGGCAAGAGCAGTTTTGAATGATTTAATTGATTTAATTAAAGCCCCGCCCACCCGGAGAAGCAAGTTACAGCTTCTATAAGTCAGCAGCACCAGCGAAATGTTGCAATCATTGAAGGCAAAAAGTGAGATTCCCAAAAAAAAAACAAAACACCTAGCTCCTGCGTGGCCACATCCCTACCAGCTCCCAATGTCACACTCTGGCAGATGCAGGCACCCAGACCAAGACACTAGCAAACCTTTGGAGGCGTCGAGCAAGACGAAGAAGGACATCAACCAGGCGATTCGCCTGGAAGCTGTGTGCGAAACGGTTCTGTTTCGGGCCACTGGGGACAACTGAAAGAACTTCTGTAAGAATTATTGTATCATGCGTTTTGGAAGGATAACAGGTCCTGCATTGAAACATGATTGAAAGTCATCAAGCCATCATGAAATGCTATGAAAAGATCTAATCTTTATCTGCGCTGCAGACTGAGGTCACTAGAGCACTGCAGGACCACTGTAGGTCAACACCATATCAGCTTCGCCCATTGCTCCATAGTTTGCAGGAGGCCTGATCTCCTTTGGAGGCTGACCGATGCCAACCTCGCTCCAAATTGTGGGTGCCATTGGTCTGACCGAACCGTTGTCAAGATACTGTCAAGCACAATGTGATATGACAAGATTGACAAGTGTAGGAGATTTAGGATATTTGATATGAACACGTTTGATTTTTTTGTGTTGATGATAGTTATGCCGTGAAAATGCATCTAAATGCCAGATCAGATCATTCTCCCCATGCGGGTTGCTTCCACTATCTTCCACTTCATGATGCTACAATAGATGTTGCGAATGTGAAATGGCGTGAGAACCATCCACACTTACCCCCACATACAGCAATCTTATCTGAGTAAATGTTTCGAATTGTTTTGACATCCTTTATAGTGCACGATGACTCGACCATGATCTTTGAGTGCACATTGTGATTCTGGATGGTTCTGGAGCATGTGTGTTGAAGGATGAATGGATTGTTTGACTTCGACATGCCAGGGTACCACGAACTCAGGAATAAAGGCTTGGGTCCACTCTCTCTCTCTCTATATATATGGGGGTTGTCCTAAATTACTGTTCCCACAAAGGCCTCTTGGGCCGAGCTTGCGCCAACCTTGCGCGTTTCTTGCGCGACCACACTCCCGGATCACTTTCATCATTTCAGTTGTTTTTCATCATTATTCTCGTACTTGTTTTTGAATGTTAAATATTTAGTATTCACTTAGTATTTCGTACTGGGAAGTAGTTTGTGCAAGCTTTGTAGTACACAGTAGTACTGGGAAGTAGTTTGTGCAAGCTTTGTAGTACAAAGTAGTATTGGGAAGTAGTTTGTGCAAGCTTTGTAGTGCAAAGTAGTACTGGGAAGTAGTTTGTGCAAGCTTTGTAGTACACAGTAGTACTGGGAAGTAGTTTGTGCAAGCCATGTAGTACAAAGTAGTACTGGGAAGTAGTTTGTGCAAGCTTTGTAGTGCAAAGTAGTACTGGGAAGTAGTTTGTGCAAGCTTTGTAGTACAAAGTAGTACTGGGAAGTGGTTTGTGCAAGCTTTGTAGTACAAAGTAGTACTGGGAAGTGGTGTGTGCAAGCTTTGTAGTACACAGTAGTACTGGGAAGTGGTTTGTGCAAGCTTTGTAGTACACAGTAGTACTGGGAAGTGGTTTGTGCAAGCTTTGTAGTACAAAGTAGTACTGGGAAGTGGTTTGTGCAAGCTTTGTAGTACAAAGTAGTACTGGGAAGGATTTTTTGCAAGCTTTGTAGTGCAAAGTAGTACTGGGAAGTAGTTTGTGCAAGCTTTGTAGTACAAAGTAGTACTGGGAAGTAGTTTGTGCAAGCTTTGTAGTACACAGTAGTACTGGGAAGTAGTTTGTGCAAGCTTTTAGTACACAGTGGTACTGGGAAAGCTTTGTAGTACACAGTAGTACTTGGAAGTAGTTTGTGCGAGCTTTGTAGTACACAGTAGTACTGGGAAGTAGTTTGTGCAAGCTTTGTAGTACACAGTAGTACTGGGAAGTGCTTTGTGCAAGCTTTGTAGTACACAGTAGTACTGGGAAGTGGTTTGTGCAAGCTTTGTAGTACACAGTAGTACTGGGAAGTACTTGTGCAAGCTTTGTAGTACACAATAGTACTGGGAAGTACCTTGTGCAAGCTTTGTAGTACACAGTAGTACTGGGAAGTGCCTTGTGCAAGCTTTGTAGTACACAGTAGTACTGGGAAGTGCTTTGTGCAAACTTTGTAGTACACAATAGTACTGGGAAGTGGTTTGTGCAAACTTTGTAGTACACAATAGTATTGGGAAGTGCTTTGTGCAAGCTTTGTAGTTTACAGTAGTACTGGGAAATGGTTTGTGCAAGCTTTGTAGTACACAGTAGTACTGGGAAGTAGTATTGGGAAGTAGCTCTGTACGTGTTGAACTTCTGTGGTTTCAGAGCGGTTTCAGAGTGGTTTCAGACCTCTTCGGGGGGTCTAGCTGACCTTGATGAAAAGAATAATTTACAGACAGAAAAGATTTGAACACAACATACAAGGAAATACATTTAAAGAGCAGACAGATAGATAGATAGATAGATAGAGATAAAGCAGCCAACGCGGTCCGGAAGACATGCAGCAGCAGCCCGGAGATGGTGAGCAGGAAGGTGTTTCAGAGTGGTTTCAGACCTCTTTTGGGCTTGTTTTTTGGGTACCCCCAGCTTTGGGAGATGAAAAAAGAAAGAGAAAAGGTAGAGAAAGAGAGAGAGAGAGACAGAGAGAGGAAGAGGGAAAGAGAGAGAGAGAGAGATAGAGAGAGAGAGAGGGAGAGAGGAAGATGGAAGATGGAGACAAACAGTAGGCGAGAGAGAGAGAGAGACAGAGAGAGGAAGAGGGAGAGGAGAAAGAGAGAGCGTTGTAAATGGTGAGCAGCGGGGTGTTTCAGAGTGGTTTCAGACCTCTTTTTGCCCGTAGGCTACCTCAGCTTTGGAGAAAAAACAGGAAAAAACGGGAAAAGAAAGAAGAGAAGGGAGAAAGAGACAGAGAGAAAGAAGAAGTCTTGAGACGGTGAGCAGGAAGATGTGTCGAACTGGTTTCAGACCTCTTTTGGGGCCGGTTATGGGGCTACCTAGTTCTTAAGACATCCAAAAGAAGGGGCTCAAAACAGATTGTACTTGAAACACATGCGGTCCGGAAAGACGTGCAACGGTCCGGAAAAGCAAGCACCCAAAACGTACTCTAATCGTAGCGATTGCGGTCCGGAAAGGCATGCAGCGGTCCGGAAAAGCGAGCACCCAAAACGCACGCTAATTGTAGACATTGCAGTCCGGAAAGATGAGCAGCGGTCCGGAAAAGCAAGCACCCAAAACGTATTCTAATTGTAGCCATTGCGGCCCGGAAAGACATGCAGCGGTCCGGAAAAGCAAGCACCCAAAACGTACTCTAATTATAGATATCGCGGTCCGGAAAGACCTGCAGCGGTCCGGAAAAGCAAGCACCCAAAACGTAATCTAATTGTAGCCATTGTGGTCCGGAAAGACCTGCAGCGGTCCGGAAAAGCAAGCACCCAAAACGTACTCTAATTGTAGACATTACGGTCCGAAAGACGTGCAGCGGTCCGGAAAAGCAAGCACCCAAAACGTACTCTAATTGTAGACATTGCGGTCCGAAAGACGTGCAGCGGTCCGGAAAAGCAAGCACCCAAAACGTACTCGTATTGTAGACATTGCGGTCCGAAAGACATGCAGCGGTCCGGAAAAGCAAGCACCCAAAACGTACTCTAATTGTAGCCATTGTGGTCCGGAAAGACCTGCAGCGGTCCGGAAAAGCAAGCACCCAAAACATACTCTAATCGTAGCGATTGCGGTCCGGAAAGGCATGCAGCGGTCCGGAAAGATGAGTACGTTTTGGGTGCTTGCTTTTCCGGACCGCTGCATGTCTTTCCGGACCGCGATATCTACAATTAGAGTACGTTTTAGGTGCTTGCTTTTCCGGACCGCTGCAGGTCTTTCCGGACCGCAATCGCTACGATTAGAGTACGTTTTGGGTGCTTGCTGTTCCGGACCGTTGCACGTCTTTCCGGACCGCGATATCTACAATTAGAGTACGTTTTAGGTGCTTGCTTTTCCGGACCGCTGCGCGTCTTTCCGGACCGTAATGTCTACAATAAGGGTACGCGTTTTGGGTGCTTGCTTTTCCGGACCGCTGCAGGTCTTTCCGGACCACAATGGCTACAATTAGAGTACGTTTTGGGTGCTTGCTTTTCCGGACCGCTGCAGGTCTTTCCGGACCACAATGGCTACAATTAGAGTACGTTTTGGGTGCTTGCTTTTCCGGACCGCTGCTCATCTTTCCGGACCGCAATGTCTACAATTAGCGTGCGTTTTGGGTGCTCGCTTTTCCGGACCGCTGCATGCCTTTACGATTAGAGTACGTTTTGGGTGCTTGCTTTTCCGGACCGTCGCACGTCTTTCCGGACCGCATGTGTTTCAAGTACAATCTGTTTTGAGCCCCTTCTTTTGGATGTCTTAAGAACTAGGTAGCCCCATAACCGCCCCCAAAAGAGGTCTGAAACCAGTTCGACACATCTTCCTGCTCACCGTCTCAAGACTTCTTCTTTCTCTCTGTCTCTTTCTTCCTTCTCTTCTTTCTTTTCCCGTTCTTTCCTGTTTTTTCTCCAAAGCTGAGGTAGCCTACGGACAAAAAGAGGTCTGAAACCACTCTGAAACACCCCGCTGCTCACCATTTACAACGCTCTCTCTCTTTCCTCTCCCTCTTCCTCTCTCTCTCTCTCTCTCTCTCTTTCCCTCTTCCTCTCTCTGTCTCTCTCTCTCTCTCTCTTTCTCTACCTTTTCTCTTTCTTTTTTCATCTCCCAAAGCTGGGGGTACCCAAAAAACAAGCCCAAAAGAGGTCTGAAACCACTCTGAAACACCTTCCTGCTCACCATCTCCGGACTGCTGCTGCATGTCTTCCGGACCGCGTTGGCTGCTTTATCTCTATCTATCTATCTATCTATCTATCTATCTATCTATCTATCTATCTATCTATCTATCTATCTATCTATCTATCTGCTCCTTTTTCTTTGGATTGCCTATTTACCACCCTGGTTATCTATGTTTATCAACTCGAGATATTAATATTTAAGATCTAAATCAGATACGGTAGTTAGTAGTAGTAGTAGTAGTAGTATCAGTAGTAGTAGGAGTAATTGTAGGAGTAGTAGTAGTATTAGTTGTTGTTGTTGTTCTAGTAGTAGTAGTAGTAATAGTAGTGGTAATGTAGTAGTAGTAGTAGTAGTAGTAGTAGTGGTAGTAGTAGTGGTAGTAGTGGTAGTAGTGGTAGTAGTAGTAGTCGTCGTCGTCATCGTCGTAGTAGTAGTAGTAGTAATCAAAATGTTAACTAAAAATAGTACTTGTAATAATGATAACAATAGTACTTGCGCGTACCTTGGGCCGCCCTTGCGCGAAACTTGCGCGATGCAGGTTTTAGACCATGGGAAAAATGCGAGAATAGGTCCTTTACTAAAAACCTTTCTGGGGTTTTTGGACGGCTCCCATATATATATATTACATACATACACTATAGATCGTCCTCGGTACTTGTATAGGAATAACA